TAATTTTCTGAGAAGCATAATTAAAATTTTACCGATAGTCATATAAGCAAATTGTTGATGCAAAAAAAAAAAAAATTTCTTACTGCAGTCATCCTTTGATTTTCCCAGTTTTTTGCAAGTGCTTGCATATTTCTATCAGGGTTTTGTTCTTTTAAGTGCTTTTTACGTTGATGCCGGTGGTGTTCTTTAATAATTTCGAGTATTTGGTGATCTTCCACCTTGTACTTTTTTACGTCACGTTTCACTATTTTAAAGGAATTTTTGAGGAATTCCTGCTTGAATTCCGACCAAACTTGGGATGGGTCAGGTTTTCCAGATTCTTCTAATCTGGAAAATGAAATCTTGATGTTATTCTATTATAATAAATTTAAATTAATCAATAAATAAAAGCACCCAATATCTATACAGTTTACTTTAATAAATATTAAAGCAATATGAGAAAATATCTAAATACAAATGAAATACGGATAATTAATGTCATCATACCCTTAATGCTTTTTTTGTTTTGGGAGAAAGTGCTCGGAACCTTTTTTTAGAGGCTTTTTTGTAACCTTGTTTGTTTCTGTTGTTTTTGCTGCTGCGGTTTCTGCTGCTGTGGTTTCTGCTGTTGTGGTTTCTGCTGCTGTGGTTTCTGCTGTTGTTTATACTGCTGTTGTTGTTGCTGTCATTGCTGCTGTTATTACTGCTGTCATTGCTACTGTCATTGCTGCTGTCATTGCTGTTGTCATTACTGCTATCATTGCTGCTGTTGTTGCCATTGTTGCTATCAGGAGTTACCGAACAGGCCCTTTTTCTATTTATCCTTTTTCCATGTATACTTGTTATAAAATTATCGATTTTATTGCCGAGGTTTTTAATGTCAGTCCTTATTGCCTTTATTTCATCTACAAAAAAAATGTCAATCTGCACGATAAAAAAACTGATAGCTTTTGTAGATATTAAACCTGATATCAATATCTGTATCTTATAGGGGTACACTTAACATGCATATGTGCTACAAATCTTTATCTGATATGTAATATCACTAAATACTAAAAACATCAATGTTGTGTTCCTAAGCGATTTGGTGTTATGATTGATTCGATAATTTTTCTTTGTAGTTATACTATTGTTGCGGCGTTGGTATGTACAACGGTACATTTTGGCGATTTATTTATTTCACAGTTTTCTTCTATTTATTTACGATTTTCGTAATTTCGGATAGATCGTCGGTTTGATTTTACTTTTTCTGGTATGATAATCGTCACAGTGCCTGTACACACTAAACTGTTTCTGAGCCGAGCCCATCTACTCTAAGGGTACGTCAGGTAATTGGCATTGTGGCTTAACCTGGACGTGCTATAATACTGCATTATTACCTTTTTATAGTACGTATCTATATACAATCTGTACTACGCACGTACAATGATTCTTAACATTAACCCTAAAAAAGTGAATATAATATATATAATATATACGTAAAAGGATTTTAGTTTATAACTAAAAATAATAAATTTCCGATACTTTCGCTAGTGATCTATTTTTACAAGTTGGTCTAACTAGGTTTAGACTGTCGCTTTTCTCGTTTTCTTTCTCTCTCTCTCTTTTTTTTAATAAAATTTTTAGCTGCTAAAGGCGGCACGAATTTCAGCCGATAAAAAGAATAAAAGGTCAGGATGCGTAAACTAATCACCTAATGCAGCAATGTATTAAAGAGATTACAATAATTACAAATTGTCGGTCAAATTCGAATGTTTTGATATTACTCAATTAGTCTCACTACGAATCTAATGATGCAAAATCGTAAAATCGTTCTATTCTGATTAATAGCAGTGTTGGCAAATGACAATATCATAATGTCATATGATATGTTTGCATGATATAGAATCATATAATTCATATGCCATATGATATAAAATGACATATCATATGATATTGTGATATGACAATTCATATAAGTTATATGAGTCATTGTCCAACACTGATTAATAGACCACAGTAGAGTTAGAACCTATTTTTACAATCCGGATATAAATGTGATCAAAGAAATAAATCCGAATACTATTTATAATCTGAGTATAATTTTACGGATTTAACTATAGAAATCAGTTTAAAACATCTTTAATATTTTTCGTGCTTGAAGTTAGCATCTGCCTCAAGTTGTAACTTCAGGTGCTTGGAGTTTTTTGCATGCATTTGGTTAATAATTTTAGGCGATTCAACTTCGGATGCTTGAATTCATAACTTCAAGCAGATGCTAACTTCATTTCAAAAAAAAATTGAATCCGGATTTATTTAAAATTCGGATTCATTTACTGCACCTAGAACACAGGATCACAGGATCACGAAACATCTTTATTAAAGAAATAATGTTATAGTCAAGTATAAGTATTACAGTATTATGGCGTTCATTTCATGCAAGCAGACAGTATCTGTAAACAAACGGACAGAACCATCCGATTTTTATGTCATTCAATTATTTTTTTTTTTTGATTATTCGATATATCATTCAATCTTTTCTTAACGCTTATTAACATAACAATATGTACAGTATATGTTATTGCCCACTTCGTGGATAATAACTGATTTATTCCCAGGTTCTTATTATACTTCCATACTATCTTTTCAATTTAAAGTTGCGCATTTCATAAAGTTTAGCCTTACTACAATCGTAAAACTTATTCCATTTTTTTCTTTTTTTTTAACCTACAAATTTTACTTTTCGTTAGTAACGTTAATGTTAATAGTTTAAAATTTTGTATATCATTATTAAAAAAAAGTAAAAAAAAGTTATATAATCAAAAAGAAATATACTAAGTTTTTAGCCAAAGTAATTAGAGTACGGGTTTATGATTCTATATAGAATATTGTAACATGTTATCAACTGATACTATGATAAATAAAGTTTGTAACATGTTACTATCGCTATGATAAATAAAGTTTTATTAAATATAGCATGTTATTTGAATGACAACCTTAATTCAATTTTAATGTTACACCTGATCTCGTCCTCTGATTGGCCAAGATCAGGAAACCTACGGTTCGGTGGTATTAGATTCTATAAAGTTCATGTGCTTGATTTTTTTCTTACAACGCACCCTGGTTCCGTGAAATGAAGAAAATCATCATAGCTAAAAAACAAATTTTCGATAATGACTTTACAGTAGGTTTAAGCGAAAATTTGTGGAATGAACTAATTCTAGAAGAATTTTATGAATGTAAAATTTTTGCTTATTATAATTATTACAATTATTACAATTATTACAATTATTACAATTATTATTATTTTATTTATAATGTTCCCTCTAAATTATTTAGATCCTCAAGATACAATATGTATCTCAATTAGCCAAATTGACGTCAATAAAAACAATCCATTACGATCACATAAAAAAAAGTCACTTGCAAACTCTTCAGTTATTGCATTCGGGAAGTGCCATTATCCCGAAAACCATGAATTCACACCCAGTGTAGGTTTCCTTATTTACTAATTACAGCACCAAGAATTATTGATGCTAAAAAACGTTCCTTTTCTTTCTTAACAAGGATCATACTTGTTATGTCTCACCAAAGTTTGCTAAACAGAATAATTTTGCCAATGGAATCGAGGTGGATATCATTAACGTGCGGCCAGTTGAGTTGGATGAAGTGATAATTGGCGCTTTGGATTACAAATCTTATGAAATACTATTAAGAGGTGTGTGATGGCAAGTTTTTGATTAGTAGGTAAGAAATTTTTTTGTTCAATTAAGATTATGAATATCTTTTTTAATGCTATTTCTCTCTGATATTTTTTGCAATTGACTCTCACCATCGGATCTCACAAACTATAAGATTCTTCTGCTATATTTAATTGCCTTCACTTGTCCCCGCCAATTATCATTCGTTATGGACAAATATATAGACTAAATAATTTACCTATATCTTCGAACTCTGATTCTTATTTTGGCTTTAAAATTCTGATGTGTGGCCCCGTTTTACAAGGCATTGTAACGGATCATACAAATTTTATTATAACGGATATTTCAAAAGATTATTATTTAAATGATCACGATGATGATGATGAATTTGATGCAGATACTACTGAATTTACTATCGAAAATGAGTTGTTAGATCAGAACATATTAGATTTAAAGGATGATTATATGACCACTCAGTTAGCACTTCTTGAAGCTGATGGTCAATATGAACTGGATGGTGATGAGTCTGACTATATTTCTTCGGTTGCATCATCTGATGATGAAAGTTGGAATAATGTTGTCCCACTTCCAACTAAATCAAAATTTACTCCTGTCATTTTATCGTCACCCTTTCCAAGTAAATTATTGCAACCGGCTCCTAACGAAAAAGAGGATCCTGAATCAAGGATTCTTATAAGCTTGAAAGAGCTTGCGAGGTTGGGTTTTCAAAGTGGAAGTTGGGTGTGTCTTCTTTTTATATGATTATTTATAATATTTTATGTTTATTTCATGCTTAATTTATTTTTTTTATGTTTATTTCATTTTTATGGATCAAAAGGCTTTGGTATCAGGACCTAAAATTGAAAAATCTAGGATGTGTAAGGTTTATGCTGTTGATATTCCTATATCTGCAACGTATGATATTTATTTATTATTTATACTCATGATTTACATACATTTAAGTTATTTCTAATTTTTATATTTAATGATAAAACTTTCTAGAGATGCGTTGCCATCAGTTTATGTTACACCAATGCTTCATTTCAACCTTGGGTTTGGCGAAACGATTGCATCAAATGCGTGTCTATTTATTCAGCCAACTAAACAAAATCAATCGCCACCTCCCGTTACTAGAAGCATTTTTGTGGCAAGGGTGGCATCACCATCGTCCACTGATAGATCTATCCATACAGCAAGCATCAATGGACTTAAAAACTGGTTTGAAGAAGCTGATAGGATAGTTTGCGAAGGGGATATTATAGCAATACCTACTGACGGTAAGTTTTTTTTTTTTTTTTACATCGCTTTGTTCATAAACATTATTACTATTATCGTTATTTTGTTACTGTTCATGAATAGAGGAAGCTGCACGGTTAAGACCACAGAAAATTGAAGGTGATATTGAGACATTAGAAGACATGGATATTGCAACGTCACCAATCAATCCTGGAACTGTAGTATATTTCAAAATTTCAGATATGAAACGCAAGAATGCGAAAATATGTTCGAAATATGGTTATGGCATGCGCGTAGATCATAATTGTACTGAAATGGTTCAAACTGGAATGGTACATTCTAAAGTGCCTTTCGTGAAACATTATTTGAATCCCAATGTTTCGAATCGATTAGATTTATATCCATTTCTAACCTCGTCAGAAACACCTCAGTCTCGATTTTTCAACCTTATTTCTTCGTGCCTACATCCAAGTGCTGTGTCACTTAATCTCAGCTGTACTGTTCTTTTGCATGGTCCACGTGGCTGTGGCAAAAAGGCAGCAGTCGAATGGATTTCCGAAAGAATTGGTGTTCATGTTTATGAGGTGAATTGCTTTGACTTTGCGGGTGAAACTGATACAAAAACAGAAACGTCTCTTCGTTCAAGACTTGATAAAGCTGTGACTTGTTCTCCTTGTGTGTTATTATTACGTCATATTGATGCACTTGCTAGGAAAAGTGCTATATTGGAGACTGGTCAAGAACCTACAATTTCTATTATCTTACAAGAATCTTTTAAACAACTGATTGAAAATTTCCAAACTATTGGATATCCAGTTTTAGTAGTGGGTACGACAGGTGATATTGATAAAGTACCTTCCAGCGTGATTGGTTGTTTTAGGCATGAAATTATTTTCGAAGCTCCATCCGAGTCAGTAAGATTAGAAATTTTAAAGCAATTGACAAGTGAAACACCGGTCTCTCCGGATGTTTCGTTATCATCACTAGCAACACAAACCGCTGCATTAGTCGCTAATGATTTGGTGGATTTAGTTGCAAGAGCAGGCTTGGCTGCACTGGAACGCGTAGAAAATGTCGTGAAAAGAACAAAACAATCATTAAAAGATATTGATCTTATACATGCAGGAATTGCTCTAACAGCAGCTGATTTTGATGATGCTCTCGGCAAAGCAAGAGCTTCATATTCAGATAGTATTGGCGCCCCAAAAATTCCGAATGTAACATGGGATGATGTTGGAGGCCTTGCATCTGTAAAAAATAATATATTAGATACTATACAATTGCCACTTGAACATCCAGAATTGTTCGCTAGTGGCATGAAGAAAAGATCAGGAATCTTGCTCTATGGACCACCAGGAACAGGAAAAACACTTCTCGCCAAGGCTGTTGCCACCTCATGTTCTCTTAATTTCTTTTCTGTAAAAGGTCCCGAACTTCTCAACATGTACATCGGAGAATCAGAAGCTAATGTTCGACGCGTTTTCCAACGCGCAAGAGATGCTAAACCATGCGTAATATTTTTTGATGAACTGGATTCTGTTGCTCCAAAAAGGGGAGAGAAGGGAGACTCTGGTGGTGTAATGGATAGAATTGTTAGTCAACTTTTGGCTGAATTGGATGGAATGGGGCAAGGTGGTGGGGCAGCAGATGTATTTGTTATTGGTGCAACAAACCGGCCGGATTTGTTAGATCCAGCACTACTAAGACCTGGACGGTTTGTATTTTCGACATATTTACATTTTTTAAATAGTTTATATGTACATCAATATGATCAGATTATAACTTATTCTTTTTCAGTTTTGACAAATTACTTTATCTAGGAGTAAGTGAAGACCATGATGCACAACTTAAAATCATTCAGGCGCTTACAAGAAAGTATGAATAATATTTTTAAATTATGTACACATATGATATTTGAATAACACTTATATATATATTTTTTTTATCAGATTCCGTTTACATCCATCATTGGACCTTCGTGCTGTAGCAGAAAAATGTCCATTTAACTATACTGGAGCAGATTTCTATGCCTTATGTTCTGATGCTATGTTGAAAGCCATGTCAAGAACGGCTGAGGCAGTAGAAGCCAAAGTTTGTACGTAAAATCGGTCATTTTTTTGACAATCTTAATGAATATATATATATATATTGTATTTATCACTTAATGATTCTACAAATTTTGAATAGCTCAATTGAATTCCAATCCAACACCCAACCTCCCTAAACCCGTAACATCGCAGTATTATCTAAATCATCTCGCAACATCTGATGATATTCTTGTAGAAGTCACACAAGAGGATTTTGAGAAAGCTTTGCGGGAACTTATACCCTCTGTTTCTGAAAAAGAATTAGAACATTACCGTATGGTAAAAATGCGATTTGAGCAACAGGAAGAGAACCCTTAATGGAGGACTGAGGTTACAGTTTTATCTTAGGCCGGGAAACTTGAAATATGGCAGGCTAATTAGTGCTTAATGTATTTTTAAAGTTTTCATAAATAACTAAAATAACTAAATGTTTCTTATATAAAATGTTTAATAAAGAATAAATAAAGAATTGAGAGACTAACATAAGTGTAATATAACTGTCTGTGGTTACGTTCTTGATAGATTTAAAAATACACTAAATTGGTATTCTTTTTTTATCGTGGTAATTAACAAGATCGAATACTTATACACCATAATACAATTTTAATTGATTTTTTATTGTTTAATTTTTTAACACTTTACATTTTTTTATTAAATGAAAATAACTATTTTTATTAAAAAATCTATCTATATTAACAAAAAAAAAACTTTTTAAAAAAATAATAATGCTTCAAGACTTTCGACACTAATAATAAAAAAATTGTTAATAATAATTATTAAGTAAATATTTTTAATTTTCAGTATACAAAGTTTCCTTTACGAAATAAGAAAACGTAACTATCTCTCCTTTTTGCAGAAATAGTAGATCTTATTTCAGAAACACATCAAACTACCGATTATGTGTTAGGACCAACCTTCTTGATAACCACTTCCTCCGGAGTCCTACCTGGTGGCCCCCAAAACCTCGACTAAGTATAAAGTTACACCTAGCCACCCCTTCGCTTAGAAACATTTTCAGAAATAACACTACCTTGATGGTCGTGGTTTCTTATGAAAATGCTCACATCCACACAGGCAGGATTGTTCCGTCCATGTTATCCATCCAGTTGGTTTCTAATGATAAAAAGGAGCCTGATGGATTTACAATTTCGAAATAAAAATATTTATTTTATTTCTAAAGCACTAAAAACAATGAAGCCTGGAATCTACATTGTATACATTGAGCGATATAATATAGTGTTTTTCAAAAAATAAAAACTATCTAAAAAAATATGTTGTATATATAATAAAAAAAGAATAAAGAATAAACAGTAAAAATATAAAAAAAAATAATGAAATATATTTTTTTTTCATGTTTTTGTGTTTATTTTAAAAAAAAAATGACAATTTATAATTGTTATATCTACCTGTGATTTTCCTATGATAATTAACTAATCAAATTGTCAATCAAATAATGATAATACAAACTAGGTTAATGAGCATTATCAGGGACATAGAAAAATTTGGATCCAAATTTACCCATGTAAATTCAATATTCTGGTATTTTCCATATAAATTTAAATTACATAATGTTGAGTCAATCAAATTTGCTGTAGATTCAATAAAATTGTAAAAAAAAATCAAAGTATTGCAAGAACATCTACTAAATACAATCAAATTGGATCTAAAAAGAAAAAATATTAAAAGGTTGGTTCTAAGGAGAGAAGATATTAAAGTGGTTGGATCTAAGAAGAGAAATAATAAAGAGGCTTTTTTTTTTTCTTTGGCAACCTTGCTGATAATCCTTTATTAAGATTATTATATAAAACTAGTTACATAATGTTGAGCTTAATATCTAGGCCTGACATTTCTCAGCTGTCTTTATAGTTACTCAGAAGCAGTCTGCCACACTAGGTAGAGTTTTATAGTCTCTGTCTAGAAAGCTTTTACCAAGTTGTTTTGGAAGCCTTGTAGATCTCAAAGAGGTCTTGATTTAGTTTTGTTGAGTCAAGTTCACTTAAATACTTTTCTGCTATGCTATTATCTAATTCTAATCTATCTAATTCTAATTCTATTTGGCTATCTAAAATACCTTTCTTTCATAAAAATACTATATTATTTATTTCTAAGCTAATATTTTTTTTTTTCTTTTTTCATTTTACTTTATATTTTTCTGCAGGTAACTTGATTCTTAACCCTTCAATACTTCTCTTTTCCTCCTCTTTATTTTCTTCATTAGTTGTTAAAGGTTCTATATTCTATAATAGAATTTTCTTCTTTGCTTTTTTCTTTCTGCTTTTCTAATTTGTTCTAGTCTTCTTACTTCTTCTTGCTTGGATTAAAAATCCTTCTAAACTTACTAAAATCTTCTCTAGAAGTTTTTTCTGTGATATCTTCAAATTGTCTTCCATTTGGTTAGCTTCTTTTTCTTTACTATTTTAATTCTTTTCTTTAATATGTCTTGTAGTTGAAAATAACTTCTTATTAATTCTTCATAGAAATACTTAAGGTTTTCTCTTCTTTCTCTTTTTTAAAGTTCCTCTTGTTTTACTTTTCTTTCTCTAAGGCCTGTTATCTACTTTTTGTATTAATATAATTCCTTCAGATATTCTTCTAAATAATTGTTAGATAAAACTTCTTTCTTGTTTATAGGATTCTTCATTTCATTCTTGTTATATTCTCTTTTTCTTTTTTCTTTAGAGATTATCACTTCGATATTTCTCTTCTCTTCTTGGTTTGGTTTCACAATATATATGTATAATTCTTCAATTTGTTGAAAAGAATCTTCTATTCTTTTCTTTCTTTGTTGCGATCTTTGTTCTAAACTTTCTTATCTATGGGTTTGGATTCATACTTTATCTTATTCTAATTTCTCTATATAATCTTCTATCTGCATATAAAATACCTCTGTATTTGTCAAGATTTCTACATTCTTTTTATTTTTTTTTCTGTTGTTTTGTATTAGAAAGTGTAAATTTTCTTATCCAAGTTGTTGGATTAAATTCTTTTATATATCTCTTCTTTGAAGTACTTGTTGCCCTTCTCTTTTTTTTTTAAGGCGACTATCCAGTCATTATAAAGCTCTAGTTCTTCTAAATAATCTTCTATTGATTTATCCAATGTCTTCACAGTTTTGTTTTGTTTTCTAGAATCTTTTTTTTCTTCAGTATCCGAGTTTCTAGATGCTATTTCTCTGTTTACATCTGTTACATAATCTATAATTAGATTATTTTGTTTACTTTTCAATGTGTATTCTCTTTGTATAACAACAACAGATCTGCAGTACAGGGTCAAGTGCAATTTCCTAAAAATTGCTTGCAAAGGGCGAAACTTCATCAGTTCTTTGCTGCTTTTCTTCTTTTTTGTCCAAAGCTTTAACATTTTTACCTTTGTCTCCTAAGAGACTAGATGTTATTTTTTGCATTCTTTTTCTTTACTTAGTACTGCAAACTATTTTCTTTAGCGAAATATATATTATTAATTTTTTGTTTATGTCAAATTTGTGTTTAGAGATCAGTAGAAAGAGTTGTAAAAATTTTTTGAATAAAGAGGCTTTTTGCAGATATGTTATTTTGTTTTTTTTTGTATAAAGTATTATAATTTTTTAAATTATTGATTTTTAAATATATGGGCTAAGTGCTGAGAAAAGGGACCAAATTGACAATTTTTTCAAAAGATATTTTTTTATATAAATTAATTAGAATAAGATTAGAATCATTTTTTTACTTAAGATACAAAAGTAATTGTATTAACAAAATTTTGTGGTATAGCTCTTTAAAGTTTGCATTTTCTTATAATTTATTATAAAATTTATAATATAAAAATTGATTTTCCAAAATCTTTTTTTTTGTTAATTTGGTTCTTTTTTTTAGCACCTAGCCTATATTATATATAATTTGGAATAAAAAAAATATTAGCAGAACTTGAGTAGTTCCAAAAAAGAAAAAATAATAGCAATAGCTTTTTATAAGAATATTAATTTTTGAATCTTGAATTCAATTAATTGGTTTTGGATAAGAAAGATATTAACAAAAGCTAAGATTGGTTTTGAAGAAGAAAAATAATAGCAACAGTCCTTTGCAAAAATACAATCTAATCATTTGAAAAAAAACATTAGCAACAATTTTTTGTAATAATGGGATGAGCAAAAGTTGTTTCACCTTATTCAAGAGCTCAAGAATTTATAAAAGATCTTTTTGTTGATAGCAATAAACTTTATTGTCGATTTTGTAATGTTAGTATTGGTTGGAAAAACAAATTCACTGTTACAATGCATATAAATTCAAAAGCTCACCAAGATTTCTGTTGCTTATATATGAGCACTAATCATAATGATCATCAACAGTCTTTTCACATCTCGCTAATGAAAAAGGCAAATAATGGATAGAGGTGGACATTCCACTTAAAAAAATAGATAAACTGCAAAGCTTTTTTCAAAAATATTATAAAGAGAAGGTTTTATCTCTATTGCAGATAGTATTTGAAAATATCATTTAGTATTGTATTTGAACAACATTGTAAGCAACTTCGAAAAATGTTTATAGCAAACCAGTCTCAATAATAATCGATGAAACTACTGACAAAAAAGCCTGTAGTGTAATTAATATACTTTTTAGCTATTGGGGTCAAACAAAGTTAATTTCAGTTGACTTTGTATTTCAAGTCAATAATATTATAGTAGGTCAATTAGTTTTTTAGACCTTAGTTAAGTAGGAGATACCTTTTAATTATCTATATCTTATTGTATCAGACTCAGCTTCTTATCTAAAAAAGTTTGTTTGAGAGGTTTTGCAACTAGCAATACCACAAGTTTGATACAATATATATAGCACACATTTTATTCAATTAATAAGATTAGTATTTTATAAATTTATTTATGTTTTAATATTTTTTATAGATTTGTAAGATTAATTTTAATTTATTATTAGTAAATTTTAGACAAATATATATTATTTTAATGATGTGCGCAAATTAATTACTAATCTTAAAAAGTCTATAATCTATACTAAAGGAAGATGATCTAGATATATGAACTATCTTTGATATCATAGAATTAAAGATAATTTTGATGATGATTTAAACTTCCAAAATTCTTCACAATTAACTTTACACTTTAAGCCATTACCTAATATGACACAATAGAATTCATAGTTCAAAATAGTGATATATATTTACAATTATTTGAACTATATTAGAGAGTTTTATTATGAGAAAAAGGAATTAGATTCTAATGAAACAATAGAAAACATTGTTTCAGTTTTTGATAATAGAAATAAAATAGTTTAACAGAAATATACTTAGCTTTTATTTATTATCATTCATGTCAGTTTATATTAGATAAAAATTTTTTCAAAAAGAAAATAATCATT